TGCTAAATACCCTTAATTTTCACTGAAGAATACAAGAAGGTCAGTTTTAAAATACACACACACACACACACACACACACACACACACACACACACACGGATCTTCATGCATTAAACTGCTAAATTTTAAATGCAAATATGGTTGATCACACACCACTTGCTTCTAAGAACCTAAATTAAAGAATCTTGACATTGAAAGACCACATCTGAATGTAAGAATGACAAGTTGATACAGCAGTTGGTCATAAAAAAGGGAATTTTGTTCTGATAAAAATGTGAATAAGTTTTTCAAAGTCAAAGATTTTTTTAATTATTAAAAATTTTTTATTACTGTGACTGTTATATAAAATACCTACATTTCTTTTGATGAACTGCTATATAAATATACATTTCTTGATCATCTTCAATCCCTTTACAACCGTCTTACCATTCCCCTTCCTTATTTTTATAAAGAATTTTTGATGAAAATAATACCAAAATTCAGTAAATTTCATGATATGTTTAGAAGATGGATAATAATTTGATACATCTGATAGAATCATCTCCTGTTCTCAGAAAATATGATTTTTGGTCAGGAAATTGAATAAACAAAGTAATATCACTGTGTATCTAAAAGAAAAATAGCCAGCTTTCCTGTTGCTGTTACATTGTATAAAGAAAGAAATGCTTTATTTGCCTCATGGTTTCAGATATTTCAGTGCATGGTCAACTGGCTCTACTACTGTGGGTATGAAGTGAGGAGTAACATCATGGTGAAAGGATTTAGTTGAGAAAGCTTTTCACTTCACAATTTTAGGGACACAGAACACAGAAGACCAGCAAGAGATACGCACTTCAAAGGCCCCGCCTCTCTTGACCGGTATCCTCCAACTGGGACCTATTCTGTTAGGAAAGAACAATACATTTATGAACTCACCAATATGTTAATTCACTGAATACATCCATGATTCAGTAACCTTCCAAAATCCCCACCTCTGAGCACATGGAAATTTTGAGGGAAAACTTTAGATCACAACACAGAGCGGAGGACGGATGGGGGACAGTTAGAAGTTCACCTCTTGAGGAAGTACCCAAAGGAGAACTCTTTTGGTGAAAATAGGAGGTAATCAGATGAAAGATATTTAAAAGAAGAAAGCATTTGGTATATATTGACTCAGAAAATACCATTTTACAGAGAAAAACTTCTTATATGCTTCATTTTATTATTTCTGAATAAACAAGCTAAATAAATTCATTAGCTTTAAGTCTGTTCAGATACATTGTTGGTAACAGTATCAACATTTGTTGTACTTGGTAGAAAAGTCATAACACATGGGAAATACATCTTTGCCAAATGAATGATGCTGAAATTGTTGACATAAAATATGATAAAATTTTGCATAACAATAGAAAGTAGTTTAAAAAGCACATAGACAGAATATAATTTCAAACTAAGGCAAGTCTCTCCAATAGTGTGAAAACATAAAGTTGATTCTGCTAGTGTTGAAAGTATAGCAAAATCCCTCCTACAATGCTTTCAAACCTTGAAAGTATCTCAAAAGCTAAGCACAAAATCCTAAATTCCTTTTTTTCAATTAAGGTAGTTTTATATAAGGCAAAAATAAGCAAAATCAGGTAGTTAGCATTTTAGCAGTTGTATGCAAAAACAGAAATATTAGAAGGTAATAAAGCAAATGATTATCAAATTATTTCTCTCAATTGTCATTTGTATGAAATCTGGATAGAAGAAATTTTTGTTTTCAGTCTCTGAAATGATTTATACTTTAGCAATTTGGAAGTTCAATGAAAAGTCACTCTATATACAGAATGCAAATTAAACAGGGGAATAACATTTGGCTACATGGAATTTGAAATGAAGCATAATCTTTGTTTTTTGATCTTGATTTTTGGTTTTTCTTTTTGATTCAAAATCTATCTTTTGCAAAAGAGTTTATCTATAGCAATATTCTAATTGTTAAAAATAAATAAAATGCACACAAAACTTCATTACGGTGTCTGCTCTTGTTTGGGAAAGGATTTCTAGTTTGGATTTCCAGATAGAAAACCATAAATCATGGTTGCATCTCTCAAGACACCTATTCTACCTTATCTGCCCCATATTTGAAAGTCTCACTAATGAGTTTGCTCCACTGAGAATGAAAAAGAGAAATATCTGCATTATCTGGATGAAATAACACTGTAAGTAATTATAATAATTAGCATATCATTAACAACCTGGGATATAAAACAGCAGAAACCGTGTTCAAAGGACTTCAAGGAAACGAACAATCGTGCTAAAAGATTTTAAAGCTAATGTCAGTGAGACACTGAAGTGTTGATTCACACCAGCTGAGGCACTTTAGAGCACAGGTGAATGTGCGTGTGTGTGCGTGTGTGTGTGTGTGTGTGTGTGTGTGTGTGTGTGTGTGTATGTTGTGCATGTGTGTTGTCTATGTCTGTGTACCTAGAACACACACATAATAGTGGGAAGCTACTCTTGTTAGGCCGTTTTCAGCTTCTCTTGCTATTGCTGGATTCATGGAGAATGTGTCAGAAACACAGAATGAGACGTGGAAATACCAACCAGCTTGTGTTAAAAAAATGAAAATTGAGAAAATATATAGATACCGAGAAGAACCTGATTTGAAATCTGCGTGTGCGCACTGGAGAAAGACTGCGCGGGTTCACATTTACGTGAATGAACTTTGACAAGTCACTCAGATCGACTTCATATATGTCTTAGTTTTCTCACTGACAAAATGGGGCTCTTTTTGTAAAACCAACAAAATTTAACAGTAAATACTGAGCAGTAGAAAGAACATGTTCAAATAGAAGAGGCACAAGGGAGCGGGGAGGTGGCAGGGAAGAAAGGGAAAAGGAAAAAAGAGAACGGGAGAAAAAACGGAAACAAGGCCTGTGTGAGGAGAGAGGGAGAGAAGGGTGGACGGGAGGGGAGGGGAGCAGAAAAAAAGAAGAAACAACATTTATTATTTTCACATACATATTCCCTGTGATGAATGTGTAACAAATGCATACTACTAAAAGAGTATTTTATTTTATTTTATTTATCAGTACCGGGGATCAAACTCACGACCACCTACTTGCAAGGCAGGTGCTTATGCCACTGAGCTAAATCCCCAGACCCTAAAAGAGTATTTTAAAAAGCTGACACATAAAAAAGAAAAATGAAGACAGCAAGTGCTACAATAAAAGAAATAAAAAAATAGAACCATTAATTCTGGGGATTTTTACTTTGTTTTTACTTGAAATGAATATCCACTGACGAAAATTTTAGCAGTAATATAGGGGGGCCACTTGTATCATGTACATCATTTTCCCCAATGCTGGTATTTCAGGTACCAAGAAAAGAATATCAAACCAAGGAAATGACATTGGTACAATACATAAAACTTCTTCAAATATTACCAGTTTCATATGCATGCATTCACTTGGGTATGTTATGTGCATGTATGTATGTAATTACATGTAATTTCTTCATGTTTAATTTTGCATAATCACTACTACCTATCCCGTGTTTTATTCTAAAACGTAAGTATTGCCAATTATTTTGGTCCTCTGACATATGATTAATCTAGAAAAAAACAATACATTTGAAATGTTTTCTTTGTGTACTAATTTCCACATTAATTATTTGTTTAGTAAGGGAAAATCTTAAAACTCTCTCTTAGTGTATTTGGTTCAAGGGGGTGATATTTTTTAACACCCGATGGACCAATTCTAGTGCTTGAGTATTTTGATATGTGTGTGTATGTAACTTAATGAAGTATTCTTCACATTCTGCTATTGTACTGATATAGAACATTATCAATGAATTAAAAATTCTTTGTCCAATACTTTTTAATGCAAGGAAATTTATACATATGTCACATTAGGAAACCATCTTATTTTACATGTAGTTCAGGAATAGTTTACTGAAACTCAGTTGAAAGAAATGACAGCTTGCAAGCTTTGAAATATGTAGATTTTTCCAATCAGTTCACACTGCTTCACAACTGATAGGTCCTGACAGCCTGGGGCTGAGCTACCCCTAACATAGCACCGGGCCCCCTAAAACTGCAACATATCTCTCTAAGAGTAACTTCTGCATTCTTCTGGCTCCAGAAATAAATCTCCCACTTTCTTTTCCCATGTGAGCCACCCCCTCTCCAATCCCAGCATTCCACAACTACCCAAGTGCTCCACTCCCAACCCAACTCCATAAAAGCCATTCCCCAGGTGTCCCTTTTCTGAGGGTCCTTGTATTCTCCAGCAGCCCTCCCTCGCCAGCAATAAAGGATTTTTAAATATTCTCTCAATATCTCAACTGTACCCAAAAACCCTAACAATATTACTTCAGAAATTAGTGATGTCTACACAAGGAAAGATATATCCAAATAAAGATGAAAATTTGTGGCATATAGTTTGAACAAGACATTGGCATTCTACTTGATTTTTAGGGGAAGAAGAGGTAAATGAAGCCAGAACGGAGAAAATAGTTTACTTCTTTCAGTAGTTCTTAGCGTTAGCCCGTTACATACACCTTTTCTAACAGCACATTTCCAGGTGTGTGACATGTGAAGCAAGGTGCAGGAACCTCATGAAAGAGCTGTTAAGAACTCAGCTCCAGCTGTGGCTTGCCACCTCTTATGAACTGAGATAGCTTCGTGGTGGTGAGTTGTTGCTTGACTCTTTGATTCCCCTTCTGAAATAATATAACAAAGTTGACAGGTTGGTCTGTTCTCAAAGTCAAAAACTCAAGTAGTTTCACTAAGTGTCAGTGAAACAGCAGTGAGCCACTTTCTAGGTCTTTAGGCAAAATGTCTACATTGTAAAGTGCCATCGTCAGTATCTGCTAATGAAAGTTGTGCGAAAAGATAAAAGGATCTGAGAATTCATAAAAGGGTCCCCCACTTAGGAAGAATAAGAAGCCTCAGTAGTCAAACAAGAGATTAGGAATCAGATATGTGAAAACGTGCCATTTAAAGAACATATTCTTTAGTGGTTTGTAACCATTTTTTTTTATATTAAATGGAATGCTTCACAAATTTGCATATCATCTTTGGGCATGGGGCACTGCTAATCTTCTATGTATCATTGCAATTTTAATATATGTGTTGTTGATGTGAGCACTGTGACCAGATTTTAATTCAGCAAGTGTTAAAAAATGTACACATCCCAAGCTGCGGTAGACTGCAATAAATCTGAGAAAAAACAGTCACATCGAGGGTTCCTTTAAAGATTTCATAACTCACCCTCTAATTCTTTAATAGTAAATTATGTGTACCTGATTATATTTAATAATTATAAACAGCTAACGATCTTTATGTTTATTCTGTGTAGTCTTGGTTTTAGGCTATTTTGCAAATTTTATCTAGTCATGTAGTCATAGATTTATTTGTTAAATGTCATAGTTGGAGACACATAGGACTATCTCATAACTTTAATCTAGTACTGGTCTTTAAAATGCTAATAAACTTTTGATCTCATGCCTTACTGTTTGTTTTCACTATTAATCTAACTAAAAAATTTAAAGTTTCACTGTATTTTGTGGTCATACCTAAGACATCCTCCGCTTGTTTTTCTTTTTTTTAGATTTTTTTAGTACAGGATTTTGCTAAGAAACTAAGTTTTTTAGGTCGTGCTTGAACTTGTAAAACTTCTACCTCAGCTTCCCAAAGTGCTGGGTTTAACCATTCCAGTCATAACTTAATTTTAAGCATATATGTCTATATATACCAATATGTTTCTTAACTTTATGATGCTTCAGCCATAAAGTAATTCAGTGAAGAGAATATTAGCCCCAAGTGGATAATCCGTAGAATTTTTTGGATTTACTTTAAATTCCATTGTCAGAGAGAAAAATGCTATCTTGCTCCTTCCGTTCATTATGTGCACACATTGTAACACATTCATTTTTGATCAGAAAGATGCAAGTGCAAAATAAGCATGATTATTTGAATATAGCAGCTAAAGATATTTGTTATTTTCTATGTGTAGCTGTCATATTTAAAATGTCTACACAGGCACTAAAAGGTAAAATTAATTGAATAAATATTATATCTTAGTTTTAGATTGAAACCAGGCCTTAAGGATGCTTTCACTTTTGGCCAGGAGTTTGTGGTTCCCTACTATAGGGAATTTGGCAATCAGCAAGAAGGCGAGGGCAACATATTTCACCCTTCATTCCTTGATATCCAACCATCTGACTTGCCTGGGCCACGCCAAGTCAAAAGCAGCTGTCTTGGGTCATATGTGAAATGTATAACACAGTGTATCCAAGTTACAAAACTTCCTTTATTTTTTAAGTTTTTATTACAACATTAAACACAATCCCATTTAATAATTAAATAAGAAAACTTACTGTTTAAAAACAATAGATGCCTCTGTTCATTGTCAGATACACATAAGTAAATTGGAATACCAGTGTCAGTAATTGCCACATTTTGCGTGACATATTGCACAAGCACAGACAATATATGACACGAGGATTTTTATTTGATTGACTGTGTGGGGCACAAGACAGAATTCTGATGTTACCTGAACACTCTGCTGGAGCGTCATGCAATTGAACCATAAGAGATGTTGCTACTAATCAATAATGTTAAATACTTTTATTCTTGGGGTCACATTACTATCCCAGGCCACAAGGGGCAAGACAGCATTGGGTTGGATATGCCTGCTAGCCTGTTTGTTGTGTGATATGTAATTAACCAGTGACAAGAATACTGCTAGTAAATAATGATCTTTGTTCTAGAGATCTGTAGACCTGAAATTCATCTCATGATTGTGGCTCCAAACCATGAGAAGAGGCCCATCAGACCTGGAACCCTGATTATCATGATACTATCCCCCCTACATCAGCTGCCTGGAAAGAAGGGTTTTGTAGTAAGAATTTTCCTGCCTTCTTATTGAAGCTGCTTTTCAAATAAAGTTGTTTTTCCCTATTTCAATAGTGGGTCTTTTAACATTACTGAGCTGTCTTAGGGTGAGCAGCCAATCCTTTTAATTTCGGTGGCAATCTCACTTCCCCACTCTGAACTTGCATAAGAGCTTTACTTCATGAAAATGCTACATAATTACAGCATGATTTGTTAATAACACTGTAGAGATGCACACAACATGCTCAGGCTCACAGATAAAAAGTCAGTTTAGGTACCTTGAGTCAGATTAATGAGACTCAAAAGAAAACTAAAATTAGTAATGTGTCAGTTTAAAAAAACAAACATCTTTTGTCATACTAAGGAGTTTGATTTTTATCTCATTACCTTGGAATAATAAGCTAATTTTTGTCATATGTACTAAATTTCATAACCTACTTTCATAAGTTTTTTCTGTTTTAAAAAAACCTGCAAAATCTTAAAAAATCAAAACAGAAATAAGTGGCCTGTGCTCTGTTTAGTTTATCTCAAGTCCTAGAAATGTGGCTGATTTTCTTATTCATTCCTATGATTGACAGAAGGTGTTTTTGTTATTACTGTTGTACAGCAGAAACTGTAAGAATGTTCACCAACTCGCGGAAGAACCCAGAAGAGAATCACACATCTTTGCAGTTACTAGTTGTGCTCTCAAGATGATATACTAAATATTTTGAAACTGCCATTAGTTTGTGTGATTTTTATTCATCCCTTTCAATTCTCCATAAAGAACAGAATAATAATTTATCTTCCATTAAAATCATAAGATATTTGTTTATACAAAGCAGGAACATTTATAATGGAAAATAGGGCTGATATTTGAATTAAAATCAATATTTTAATAACATAGGATGGAAGAGATGGTGAGTATTATTAAAAGGACCATGTATGCATGTATAAAAATACCAAAATAAAATTTATTAATTTGCACAATTAATATATCTTAATACCTACAACTTTTTAAATAAATATGTTAAAATTAATTAATTTAAAATATGATTAGACTTTTATATTACTTTCCCAACTACTTTGGTACAAGAACCAATACTTGTTTTGAAAATGTTTCAGGATAAAATTTGTTCCTTTATTTAAAAACTAATTAATGGGTACTTACTTAATATCTGGTATTCTTCTGGGTGTTACCCGAGTAGAATTCCACACAAGAAACAAAAGTCTTCATGTTATAGTACATCAGCTCTGTTCCAATAGGCAATGAGAATGCATGTGAAAATAAGAAGATATGTGGTGGAGAAATACAAAACAAAGAGGACTGCAAATGAAAAACAAGAACATCAGCAGGTGTGATAATAAAACTTTAAAGTGAGAGAATGAAAAAACCCTCATAAAAAACACTGAATAAATACATAGAAAACAGGTGAATTAACATGCCATGCACCTGGGGAGAAGCCCTGTACACTTTGTGGCATCCACAGTTGAGGTGCAGGTATTCAATTGTGTCTTACTTTTGCAATATTTCTCAAATTGTTACTGAGAAATATATAATCAAATCCTAGAAGTGCTTCCTTATATCAAGCCTAGATATACTAAGAAAGAATGGACAAGAATTCTAAAATACAAGTATTAAGATTTGTGCAATATGTTTATCTTGATATTCATAAATTTACATATTTTGTGAATATAGGTCTCCAAATCTCATCTGACAAATTCTCTCCTATAGTAATAGTCCAAGAATATTTTCAATTAACCCTAATATCAATAATTTTATTGTCAGTTTCTTAAGGCAATTTTGGTTATAGTATTTTCAACAAACACATGATTTTGAGAATCACATCTTTTTGGGAAAAAGATACAGTAGTTCCCATTAGTGAAGAAAATGCTAAGATGTCCCCAAATGTTGGAGAAACTTTTGGAGTAAGTGCTTTGGTATTTTGTATGGTTAATATATTATGAATCAAAGAAAGCAAATGCTGTCATTATTCGCACAGCATTTTTGTGACCTACAAAGTACAAATGTGAAGTTAGATGATTTCTGAGTGATTTGCATCTCCTCATATACTCATGCAATGGGCACCATATTTTGTATGCCATGCTGGTCTACACATTAGGGATGTGTACAAAAGTTTTATAAAGAGTAGCATACTTAGTGGCTACAAATTTTGTACCTATCTTTTCATTCTCCTAATGGCTTTATAATACTACTTCATGAATGTGACCTACCTAGTGAACCTTCTTCTTTATTGTAGGTATTGCTCTCCACAGCTTTTCTTCTTCACAAAAACAGTGACATTCATTGTAAAACAAAATGTATGCAAAGTTATAGCATCCCAGGATCTAAAGCAGATACATAAAATGACCATTACATGCTCAAATTAGAAGACACAATACCAACTGTTGGGTGATGAAATTGAATTTTTTTCAGGAGAGTTCCATAAGTGTACAAGAGATAGAGACAGGAGGAAAATATACATGGAAAGTACTGCCTCTGTTTCTGATGCAGGCTCACTGGTCGTGCTCTTTCTTTGTCAGTCTGGCCAGGAAAAGCAATACAAGGGCCAGATTTAATCCTTTTTTATTGCTTACTTCAGTAATCAAAGTCTTCAAACTGTGCCTAAACCACAGTAGACCTTCAAAATCTGCTTAATTAATGGGTGGAAGAATGCACCTAATGAATGTGTGAATGAATACATGGGTGAATGAACCAGTTGATAACTGGGTTTATAAAAATTGAATGACACTTAAAAATGAATTGAACTCAGAATCAATACATCTGCCTCACTAGAAACCTAAACACACAGAAAGTCCAATAAAGATGTAGCAAAAGCTAAATGAAATGAAAATTTAGATTTAAATGCTAAATATAGATTATTTAGCATTTAAAACTAACATCTCAATTCTGATCAGATGATGTTTCTGTTCCTTTATCCAGTTGCTAAATATGGCATGATAAAAGTCAATAGATTCAAATACTCTGCTTCTTGTAGATTTTTAAACTTCAGTAGGTTACATAAGCCCATGTAATATTCATTTCACCTTATGTGAAAAGTAAAATGTAACTAAATAGTTAACTGCAAATATGAGTGGTTTAATTTTAATGTGATAACATAAAGCATTAAACCCTCCAGTACTCAAAATACTAGGATCTAGTACTAGAACTCATAGGACAATGGTCATTAATCATTAGTACTGTAAGTCTGGAGATTAACTTTAATGGAAATCTCTAGATTCTAATTGGACACCAGCCTGCTGTTTCAAACCTCAGTACACTCTGTGGGTGTAAAGGTGTGGCTGACACTGCACACTATGGAATATCTCCAACCACACAGTCACTGCTCCTCAAGTGACAGTTCACACCTATACGAAGCCTTGAAGTGATCACAAGAGCTTGAGAATTAAGAGGGGAGGCAGATAATGCACTGAGGGAACATCGTTGAAAAGAAGCTATTGCAGGAGGTACTGAGAGTCTAACAGCAGTGTGCTGACCAAGAAGCAGTGGACATAACGTGGAGGGGAAAATAAGTGGGCCAAAAGTGAGTTGTTTAAGTGTGGGGGTGGCTGATCACTACCACTTTATCTGTGTCATTTGTCTTTTTCTAGTAAGTTGTGACCACAGGAAACCACACTAACTTCAGAATGATGACAATATTTATCTACTGAGAAAGAAGAACAAAATGTCATCCACAAAGAAAAACATGAAAACCATAAAACATTGATTGGATTGGAGATGCTAGAATCATGTTTTCTATGATATCTATTTACCTGGAATTGTATCCTGATTGAGAACTTAGAGAGCAGCCTTCTTGTGAATGGAACAAATGGGTGAGTAGAGACACAAATAACTCCACATGCATGATACCATGGAGACAACATTAAAGGCTATCATTCCAAAATGATTGTGGTGCCTCCTGGATCCTGATATAAGGAACAACCCTGAAGTTGCTGTAGAAAGAGCTTCAGTGACGCTTTATTTTTAATTTTTTTTTAAAAAAGAATGAATCCAAATGAGAAAAAAAGGGTCATTTGAAACAAAAGGATGGACATAGTACATGATTTTAAACCACAATACAAGGTGATCTACAATGGTTACCATGAGGGCTCTTGTTATCTTCAGTAGAATTACCCATATCATCAGATATAATAAAATTATTGATTTGAAGACCTGTATTACTCCCAGTATTTTGTTTTGACTGATTAGACTTTGTTTGATAGTATCAAGTTTGAGTGTATAAGGCAACTACTTTGAAGGCAATAAGATTCACTATCATGCCCATTGTGATTTGAAAATTACCTTCTTTTGAAATCCTGTAATGATTCCAAAGTTTAGGTTTTATGGGTCTTGTTCTGTACTGTTTTGTTAAATTTTATTATACCTAATTCATTTTAAGGAAGCAAGAGGTATTATGGTAACCATTGTTGATAAGCTTGTACTCTGTTTTTACATCAAATGCTATGTCTATCATTTGTTTTGACTGACTGCTTTGGTTTGTCATATTTGGTTTTATTCTCTTCCAAAAAAAAAAAGTAATAAGAACTATGGGAGTAATAAACCCAAAATGTGTAAATTTTGTTGTAAAGAAGAGAGGAAAAAAAGTGCTCTAATGGATACAACTGCAAGTGTGTTTAGGTGTGTTAAGATAGATGTCCATATTACTGAGTTGTTGGATCATTGAACACAACTGTTTTCAGTCTCACTGTTTGAATGTTCACTTTGTATGCTTTAATCCTGTAATTTGAACAACCTTTTCTAAGATGACAATATGTAATCTTTTAACTAGTGATTTCTTACCATTTTTTTGTAATTCTGTATTACTTGTACCCTTATACTGTTTTGTGTTTTTTTCCCTTTAAATAAAAAAAATAAAAATAGCAGTACAGAACAAAATCAATAAAAAAACATTGGAGATATTGTAGGACTTCAAAAGAGAGTAATAGTCAAACCAGAATGGTATCATAGTGAATTTTATTGTCTTCAGAGTAGTTACCTCTATTCTCAGACTTGATATCATCAAAAATAACAGATTCAAATAAAATCAATCAAGACAAGACAGCCATTGAACAAAACAAATTCAAATAAAATCAGTCAAAACAAGGCAGTAAAGGCAATACAGGGTTTCAGATTAAGTTAACAGGAAATTAAAAATGATTACCATAATATATCTTGCTATCTTTGGAATAGCTGTCTATGCCCTCAAATCTAGTGCAAGTAGACAAACTGGAACAGAATATTACCAAACTAAACAGAACTATAAAAGCCATATGGGTTTCAAATCACGATACAAGGTAACAATATCTTCTGCCTTCTCTAGACAGTTCCTCCCCTTTCACTTCCCCAGGGTGCTCTGTACATTTTGTATCCCACTAACTCTTTTAGTTTTTAGATTAGGGAGGCCAACTGCTATTTACCTAAGTGGTTCTGAACCTTTTTACCCCTGTGCTTGGTCTGGAGTTCCCAGATTAGTGATGCTTTAAACAAGGTTTTCATGTTTTTTATTTTACACAAATATCATTAGAAAAACAATGAACACTGAGTCAATCAATTGTTTTTAAGTATTAGAGATTAAACCCAGAGCCTCCCACTGAGCTACATTCCCAGCCATTTTTTAAAAAGCAGGCTCTTGATACATCTCTCAGTTGCCCAGGCTGAGTTCAAACTTGAGATCCTCCTGCAGCAGCTTTCCAAAGTGCTGGGATTGCAGCCTGATGCCAAATCAAACAAGGAAACACCAGTCCTTGTTCTTTTACTACAGTGCTTTCTCATCGTGTGTCTAAAGAGGTACAATTCAGTCAGATAAAATATAATGCACAAGCTGAAGCCTATGGTTCCTTATTAAAATCCTTGAGAACAAGTTTGATTTCAGGTTTAGAGTTCTTTGCATTTTATAAGTACTACATATGGATACACATATGTGAAATAAAATACTAGTATAGTATCATTGGATTCACTTGAAAGCCAGAAATGGATTTCAGCAAAAAATTAAAACATAAGGACTATAATTAGCTAAGCTTAGGTTTTAGTAATAAACAGGTGAAAATTTTTCTTTCACGAAGGTATAGATTTTATTATTTTGGATAAGAGATGAGAGACACACCTACCACACTGATATATACAATAGATTATTTTTAATTATTCACAAAGCATTTTTGGATTTCCCTCCTTCCATTACCAGACTTTTCCATGCATACTTCCATAGTGATAGCTTATTTGAGTATTTACCTGCATGTTACAGTAATGAGACTGTCAAGCAACCTGACTAAGATAAGATCTTCAGAGAATATTGTGCTAATACCTTTCTGATTACACATTTCTCCCAAAATACTGTGGTTCTCAGCCTTGATAAATTTGGCATTTCCCAGGCTGTCAATTGTTTTCTTGCCTATGATGTTTGAGAAACGTTGGAATTGTTGAAACTTAAGGGAAGTGTTCATGTGTTTGGGGTTATGAGCACGGATGGAAATTTGATCTTGTTATTATCTATATTTGGAGACTGAGTATGATTGTGGAGGTATGTATGGATTTCAAGTTGACAAAGGGCAGAATGTGATGATTAAGCTTAGTTGCTAACTTGACTTAAGATTTAAGAAGAATCCTGAAGAGGTGATGAGATCATAGGAATCTATTCTCATTGGAAGAATTAACCCTTTGCTATTCATAACTAAGCATGGTATAGGGGGTGGAGCACAGTGAGACGAGTCACTAAGGCCATGCCTTTACACATTACAGGTCTCACTTACTGTGTTTCCCAGTTATCCTGGAGTCACAGCATTGGCCCACCATGCCCTTCGCTGTGGTGTTTCTGTATCGGACTGTGGGAACAACAGTCTAAAACTACTGAAGCCATGAACCAAACATGAATCTCTTCTCCTCGAATTGCAGATGTCGGGTGTTATCGTTTGAAAACTGGTGGTTAACTTAACGCCAGCTGGATTACATCAGCATGCATTGAGAAAAGATGCTCCACCTGAGGAGGGTTGCCAGGATAAATAAGTGGAGAAGAAGAGAGGTGTTGGGAGCAATTGAGGCATTAAGGGGGCATTGTGGGTTCTCCTACGAGTTGCTGTCTGAGCTGTTGGTTCTCCTGGAGAAGCTCTAGTCCTCACATCGAGCATTGCTTCCTGGCTCCGGAGGGGAAGACATGTGCTGCCTGGTCTCCAGGATGAACTCATCACGCTCCTTCCTGGCACATACCGGACTGTGCTTGTCGTCGGAGGAGCTCGGAGCCTCCGTGTTGCTGAGGACTGCTGTGGTGCCTTTCAGGACAGCCCCGCTCTTTGTTGTGAGTGTGACTTCTCGGTGGCTCCACTGTAGAACCCTCATCCCACTAGCACAGCTCCTTCATCCTGCTGGCATAGACTTTCTGGCTTCCACCGCTGACCCTTGGGTCTTCCCAGCACAAATCTGTAAAAGAGACTGGTGTGAGTCCTTCTTGTGGGCTCTGGACTTCCAGTTGGACTCGTGGAGGCATTGTCCTGAGCTCCGGGTTTTTAGCTGGACTCATGTGGGACATTGCCGTGGGGTTTAGACTCTTGACTAAATAATCTATGTCGTTGGTGTTGCAGATAGATTTCCTGCATTCTCCTGTGTTAACTTCCAGTGACCATTATAAAAATATTATGAACTCCATGTCCTGATCTGAATTGTTCTCTGTGTACAACCCCTGACTACAACATCGAGGTTTTGTCCCAACACCCATAAAGCTGAGCTATACAGAGATTGATTACCTTAAGGATTGAATAATCTTGTTTCCCAAACACTGGTTGTCATCGCCTTGCATTTAATCAGCAATTAACACATTAGTCAATTTCCTTCTTCCAAAAATTCATTTACGTCTATGATGGCTCTTTAATCTTTTAAAAAAGTATTTACTTTTTCTCAACTACTTTCCAGTTTTTCTATGTTTTTCTTTTTTCTTTTGCCTGTCCTCACCTTTATACTTTTTAACCTCATTCCTTCACTGCTGTAGCCGCAGTTTTAATCTTGATTATGGTGTAGGCAAGTCACGCGGGCAGAGGTTACTGAGAGGTAATGAGAGCCAAAGCTACTGTTCCCATCTCTACCCAAGGGCTTGTATCCCAATCTCAGATGGCTTGATTTATGCTTCAGTGATGCAGAGCTTGTTTTTTTTTTAATCTCCAACCTAGTTCTTGATAAATATTTTTAATTAAATATCTTTTTAGTATTACAGTAGATGCTGATTAAAAAAAGAAAAGAAAAAATTTATCAAAGGTCAAAACTAGGTATACCTCAAAATCCAGTAGATTTTCAGACTTCAAAGCAAACACTCATGAAAGTGTTTTTAACTTAATAACTCCATAGTCCTGATTGAACAGCTACAGGAAAAGCAAAAGATGAGACTTCAGCTTGACTTGAAAAAGAGAGTTGCACATTAGGTCATAGAATACCACATATTATCAACTTTAAATTAACAGTCACACTGATGATGTGATTCTGAATTAGACGCACTCCGAGCCACCACAGGGAAAGAAGCATGAGGTGTATCTAAGAAAAAATGTAAAGCTTGGCACTAGATGTGTGTCATATACAAAATTAATTTAAAATTCCAAACCACATGTGGAAACAGTCAAAGAATTCTTAGGTGAACTAAAACAATATAATAAAATGTAATAAACTCAGGTAAATGAGGTGTCAAATGAAGAAAAAAACCTGGATTTCTTTTAACTATGTCAAAGGATTAAAACTCAAAGTGGAAACATGCAGAACAGTGATACAGAAACTACCAGACATACCTTACAAAACAGACCATCACAAACTTCATTTCCCGCGGACATTTGAAAAAGAAATGGTGAAGCGTCATTTAGGAGGGAAACTGCAAGGTAGTGAGGGGAAGGACAAAGTGAGGGAGTGAAAATAACTCTGTGCTGTGTTGCTGGTGTGATTTCACAGTGAGCTGCCTCAAGTCACGGCAAACCACTTGGTGGGTGTTCAGCACAGTGAGCTGGGGAAGCTGCAGGAGAACCTGAGCCCAGGGGTAAGCTAGGGCGATTTAGCACCTCAGGCAATCCTGGGGCAGGGGATATGGAATCTGGGCTGCTCCAGTGCTGAGGTGACCCTGGAGTCTGGGTCTGCAGGGTTTAATGTGGTTCTGCGCAGGCCTGGAGCCTGCGTCCACACACACTGGAAGGTGCTGGACTCCAGGAGGGTAGACCTTTACTGAACTTTGACCTTTGCTGTCAGTTTGAAACCTGGGACCAAGTGGCTTGGAGTGTGAGAGGAGCCTGCAGCTGGACTCCCCGCATCTGTCCTGTAGCTTGGGGCTTGACTGGCTGAGTGGGCCTGGAGTCCATTGTGCAGATGTGAGCCTGGAAATGGGATCTGCAGGAATCAACTCAGGGCTGAGACAGTCTGAGGCCTCAGGCCACGGGGACTAATTTGCAACTGTATCAGCTCAGAATCCACAGCAAGTGTGGCCAAATCACAACCTGCAGAGCCCTCCCATCCCTTTAATACTGTTACTATGACAAATATATGCGTATCAAAAAGGAAGTTTTGTTACTTATGTGTGTTAACTATATCATATTTTATATGTGAACCAAGTGTCCCTCTTCACTCTCTCTGGCTAGACAATCCACAGCTTGCACTCACCTGGCCACTGCTGGGTCTGTGAGTGCTGATCGGATTCCTTGGCTGCTCGGTGCCTGGGCTTCCTGGTCTGCTCTGGCAGTGGGGAAGACTAGGAGCCTGAGTCCATGGGGGTCAAATCAGTGCTGGATGTATCAATTCTATCATTTCCAGTCAAAATATTTCTGAATTTTCTGTATTAACAACTTTCACCTAGAAAGAAGCACACTATTTATCCTTTCCAGGTATGATAACTTTTTAAAAAATTTACATAGTTGAACAGTTTCAGATCTATTGTTTAAAAAAAGGTGCCATAAACTTATTGATGCTTCATTCCCTGTTTCATGGTTTAATATTTTCTTTCTTATTATGAGGTTTACTCTAATTTCTTTAGCATCACTTTCTCAGATTAAAGCAGTTCATATTTTTCCTATTTTAAAATTGTATTTCTAATATTTAGAAAAAATCAAGTGAAGTTTCATTTTAGTTATTTTGGTTTCAATTGGAACATCTTTAAGGTTAACAGTGGCAGTTTTTGTGTCCACTGCAAGAAGCTGAAAAATGTAGCTGACTAGAATAATTAACAAATATATATTTGTTGATAATAATGCTTTATAATTTTTCTATCATAACATATATAATATAATAAGGATTTGAGAAAGAGAAATACATCATATTGCATATACTATGAACATGGACTTAGTTTCAAACGCAAGAAAGAAAAAAAATCAGAAGTTAGATAGTACTCAGATTTAACATCCTAATTTAAATCAGCACGTGAAGTTTGAAATCTTTTAGCAATACAACATCTATGATTGCGGTAAAAACAATTTCTTCAGACATTTGGAAATGGACAAGCCAAATGACAACTTAGAAGCACACATTGTCCCTTCATCTGGGCACACATTGTGCACTGTCCTTTTGTGATGTGTGATGAGACAAACTAATTTGAAAATAGCTCAGGATGTGTGAGTTTCCTGTTAACTTTAAGTAACACATTGGTAAGAAATCTGCTTTACCTGCTCTTAACTCACTACGAGCCTCAAAGAACAGGCTATGAAGAATACAGACAATTTTGCTCTTGTCGTGAAATTTTGTTATTAAAAATCACCCTTTTTTACTCATCTGTGGCCAGACATTTTACTTGAGTAACCAGGCTTCCCACTAAAGGAAGCATGACTTTCTGCCAACAGGAGGAATGTGTCGCTCCTGCCCTGTGGCTGGACTGTCCAATTCAATTACTAAGAGTTGGCAGAGAATCTATTTGATATAAATGAATGCTGATCATATAAAATAAAATCAGAGCAGAACCTTGATATATCTACTTCAATAATTCAAGGACAGATCCTAAAACAATAATTTTACGGGTTGATTCTGATCATTGCCTGTTGAGAATTGTTTAAGTGCATCCATACACATTTTAGCTTTTAATGTAATTTAAAAATGAAAGCCATTAGCATGTTGAAAATGTACTATTAATTTTAGAATAATAATGTACTAACTTACATTTAACCCAGATACTATAGACTATTAAAAATTTCGTTGGATAATGAAGGCCAAATATTCCTCAGATTTTGACTTAGATTATTTTCAGTGAATTTATGCATACTGTTTGCTAACTTCTGAGGGACATCGTCACAGCACAGTCCATGACTTCACTCACCTGAAAGGATATATATTCCAAAGAATAATCCACTCAGAACTGGTTCTGGACAAAAACCCAAAGAGGCTGCCAAGGAAACTATCAGCACTAAAACTTCCATTTCAATAGGAGAGCAAGAGAAAACCAATGCCTTGTTAACCTTATACCCAAAATGCTTCATAGTAGCAGCCAGGGAATGACAGTGGCCACAACTGGAAAGGAAAAACACTTCATTGACCCTTGCTGTGACAAGGATGTGAAACGGGGCCCAAAGTATGTGTAAAGAGTGACGAACAGGCTCACATATTTTTCATATGTGAGAACAGGTGCTCTCACTTGAGCTATGTTATGCTTTAAAATGTGAAGATTAATTTTATTTGTTGAAATTTCTTGTCATTAATTGAGCAGTTATGGATCATGAAACTCACTGAAAATGCAGAGGTGTTCTAGAGACAGAGTGCACTCCTGGGAGAGGGCTTGAGATTTGAGCTTACTTTGGGATTTCCTGTTCTGCAGGTTCTCTTAAATGTAAATCTTCTAAATAGCTCACTTCATTCTGCTTTGTCATCAGGGCCATGCCTGACCTTGAAGATTTCCTATCATCTCCTGAGAAGTGCTTTGCTGCACTCCTGGGATGCATCCTCCTGATTTCTAAAGCCTCCATGCTGGCTACGATGGTTGCTGTGATTCTCGGTATGTATATTTTTGAGACCATAAAGGAGCATTCTACATTCATTCTGGAAAATGCTTTTAAACATTCCAAACTATTGGGAGAAACAGTTTCCATTTTAATTCATATATTTGGATGGAATGTGCAATTGTTATTCTGAATTCATTAAAAATATAAAAATGGAGATTTTAGCTTGTACTTATAAAAGATTATGTACATATATCCTAATTTCATAAGCAAATAAAAAGCTTTAAATAAAAAGCTTTAAAAGGCTGAAAATCCTTTTTAAGAAACACAAATTGATTTTTGAAAGTCATAATACAAGATACAATACTGTGACAGATACTGACTTTGGACATTTAGGCGTTCTCAAAAATATTTTATTGCTTTATTAACTTTTCTTGGTAAAATCAATTTCATTCTACATTTTTCTAATTCTAAACGTTATATATTTAAAATAAAAACATTAAATTTGCTCTATTTTTCAGAAATTTAGTTTACAAAAAGTTCTTTTATATTTTTTACTGCAGTAATATAGGAATGCAATAATTCTTTGATAAAAAATGTACAATGATTTTCAAAGTTCTGATATTTGCACAGATATTTGTATTTGTATATTTTCTTTCTAGCAAAAGTCTTTCAAAATGGCAATAGCATTCAGTGAAAACTAAAGCAAGCTAAAATGATAGGCTCAATAAGCTCGTGAATAAAGCAGAACGACATTCCTTTCTGGTGAACAGGAAGAAGATATACCCATTTGAAAGTCCAATATTTGCACCAATATTCTCAAATTTTCTACTGGTATAAAGTAAGAATTAAATGCATTATTCTAGAGATGAAGTTTCATTCAGTGATTTTCTGTGCTTGTTTGTATGAATTGGTGTTTTATTTTATATGTGGCAGCCAGTGGTAGTGCATAGCTCTGTATATACTGAAGTGCAATCATAAAATACAGTGAGTGTTTAAATAAAATTTTACTACAGAAAGGCATGCAACCATTAATCTTGCTCAAATATTGCCCTTATTTCAATCATACTTACTCTGCCATTCTTCCCACATTCCGAAGCAGTATTTTTGAAGGATTTTTTTTTGCCACATCAATGTCTTGAGTCAGTTCAAAATATTTATGACAGTTTTTGTTAAATAAAAAGCTTACATGCTTCTTTATACTCACTGTGTACTGGACCTGGCACCAAATGACTTCTAATTCTTCCTCAAAGTCAAATCAGTGTGCAAATCAAACATTTTGAAGCAGTTCAAAACAACCAGGCAGCCCCGACAGGGCGAAGGAGAGGACTTGTACAGTTCCTTGGACAGTGTCAAGAAGGGTGGGATAAGTGCGGCTGAAGCAAGGAGAAGAATTCTGAGAAAGCCTAATGATGGTATATATTTCATTATAATGATTTTCAAACACTCCTGATATATATGCAAATATGCAAATTCATTTTAATATTTAAAAGTTCTCATGGCTTCTGAATAGAACTCAAGTAACTTCCTTCAGCGTTGTGACTGTTGGCAAATGGAGTTCTTTACATATTCTAAAAGTTATTATTAATTGTTATTAATTCCATTAATATAGGAAATAAAACTTGGAACGAATCTTCAGTAATCTAAGGTCATAAGAATTCTAATCTAATCTATATGGACAATGAAGAGAAAATAAGGTTTTAAGTGCTTCTTTGTGATAAAACTTTTATTTAGTCAATATTATATTTGAAGAATTCATACATATAGCTATCATTTATTTACAAATCTGTACATTTAACTGTTCACAATATTTTATTTTTGTTCATGCATTGCTAGTATATATTTTATTATTCATAGTTCTTGCTTTTGAGAAAAAGTCATGCCTACCTAAAAGGTTTTTTTTCTGAAATAAACTTTTATTCAATTTTATCATACTTAAAAATATCTAAACCTCTCACAATTCTTAGATTGCTTACAGATCAAACCACCAGCATTAAACACAAATCATGCAGATATTAGCCATGTTCCATCTATTGGTTCCTGTCTGTCATCATTGAAATCCCAGATGCTTCTGGGCTGTGTTGTTCCCCCCCCCCAGGATCTGTCACAGTGTTATTTTAAACTTTTTGTTTCTCTATTCCATTGACTCGAAGGCTGTGGTGAGCTGTCTTGTTCCCTCTTATCCATACCATGTTCCTTCTGATTGAGAACTTACTGATGTTCTGCCATCTGAGTTTAGGTCACCGTGACTCTGAGATGAGCATTCATGGAGAAACAGCTCTTCGAAAGGAGTGATGGCCTTCTCATGATTTTCTCCTAAGCGTATAATGAGGAAATGGTTTACAATGAATCTGTATCTGAATGTAAAATGATTTTGTATTTAAGCTTTCTCTTTTGTTTACATTCCTGGATAGTTTTAGAGAAAATCGCTGACATGCTACCCTCTGATCAAATTAGATATATAGTTATTACTCTCTTTTGTCCTGTGGATATTCCATCTGTTCTAATCATAGTGACCTAGCTCTTCATAATTCTCAGTTCAGACTTTTTCCTCGGAAGTTGTGTTTAGTGAGCTGACTGATTTTTACTTTGTTCTTTTTGTTAATGATACATCATTAAATAAGAACTAATATATAAGGTATTATCATCATAATTTTACTCAGATATTTTATTTTGTTTATTTTATGTTTAAGTTGCTAGCAGTAAGAAATTTGATGTTTCCAATACTCTGGTCAGTTCACAGAGGTTCTTTCTTTTCTTTCTTTCTTTTTTCTTTCTTTCTTTCTTTTTCTTTCTTTCTTTCTTTCTTTCTTTCTTTCTTTCTTTCTTCCTTCCTTCCTTTCTTCCTTCCTTCCTTCCTTCCTTCCTTCCTTCCTTCCTTCCTTCCTTTCTTTCTTTCTTTTCATTTTTAAAGCAAAAACCAAAATAGAAAAAAGAGTAGAAATAATACAGAATTTCCAAAAAAAATAGCAGTAAGAAATCACTAGTTGATAAATTACATCCAAAATGTATAGTTGATATTGTAACAATGAAAGAGAAAGCAAGTGCTCAAAACGGAAGAACAATTTGAAGGTATACACATATGTATACATGTATGTATATATATATATATATATATATATATATATATATGTATGTACGTTTAAATGTGCAAGATAGATAATCATACTTCTAAGTTTTGTTAGTTCATGAACCAGAGAAGTTTGTGCTGTCATTGTTTGATTGTCTGTTCATTTTTTATGCTTTGGTTTTATAACTTGAACAACTACTTCTAAGATTATTACTTTCTAAATGTTAAATTACGAAAGGAGCAAATGTGAGTTGGTTGTTAAAGTGACACTTTTCTTTTGTCTTAATTTTTAATATTTACTCATTATGAGTATTATTTATTATTAATTTTAGTTTTTCAAGAAAAAAATGAAAAGGAGAAAGTGCTGGAAGACCTCAGGAAAGCTCACATTACACAAAATGACAGCTCTTTACAGAAACTTTTGACAAATGTGACTTCCGAATACAACATTCTTAAAAGTAAAATGGATCAGGAAAAAATGGATCTGGAACTGTGTTTTGAGAACAGAAGTCATAGAAAAGATAAAATCTTTGCAAAACCTTTGGAAAATATAGGTATATTGGAATCCTTATGTCTACTTCTATGAGTTTCACTATGTTAGATACTCCATTTAAGTGGAATTTTAAAGATTTCTTTCTTTCTATGGCTGGCTTGTTTCACTAAGCACAACATCTTCAAGGTTCATTCATCTTGTTACATGGCAGAATTTACTTCTTTTTAGAGGATACTATTCCTCATATGTAAATGAATTTTACTTACCCTTTCCTCTCTCAGTAGATATTTAGATTGTTTTCACACCTGTCTGTTGTGAATCATGCTACATTGAAGATGACAGTGCAATCTCTTGGCAATCCAGAATCTTGATGAACTGTGTATTATCATTTTACTGAGAGCTATGGCATTTTTATTTATTTACACAAGTCTAATAAACATATTGCTCTGATTTACAAAATATTCGGTAACAAGAAATTTAATGATTCTTCTATGTTTTAGGGAAAACTTGTGAAGTGTACTTGACCTGCTATGGAGTAAAGTGTTATTATTTTATCATCGATAATAAAACCTGGGAGAAATGTAAGCAGACTTGTCAAAATCAAGGATTATCCCTTTTGAAGATAGACGATAAAGATGAACTGGTAATATAGACTGTAACATTCACTTCTATTCTCTTGGACTTTGTCTCCCAGCCTGGGGCCTAAGACAATGAGGACCTCCAACTACCCTTTGGCCACAGTTGTAAGTTAGGAGTCTCTTGTGAGACATCTGCCTGCTGAGAAGCATAGGCACCTGCTAATTACTAACGGCTCAATACATCCCATCTATTTTGATAGTGCAGCTCCAGTCCTTGCAGTCAGCTCCCTTTCTAAGGCGTCTGCAGAAGAGTCCTATGGAGAACTATGTCTTTTTCTGGATAAAACTGAGCTCATTGGTAAATAGGATCCAATAGTTATGTATCCCTATCGAGTAGCAAACAGAAAGCAAGAGGCAGCATAACCTAGAGTTACCATTAGGAACCCAAGCAACTGACTGGGGATAACACCCATCTTTACCAAATACTAGCCAGATGAGCTGAGGTAAACTAGTTAATCTCTCTGGGTCTGTCTGAAAAGAATAGAGATAATAATGTCAAGTATGAATGTATTAACCAATGTTACCACTTAGCTTTGGGGTGATTTTCATTGCATCTGCCATATAGATAATAATTATTTGATCAATGTTCTGATAAATAAAAATGTATGTCTTTAAAGACAATTATAAAAAGTAAAACTATATTAGCAATGCTACCATACTGAAAATTTCATTTTTATTGATTACTAAGGAAAATCATCTGCATTCTCAATATGTGTTTTCATAGAGAAATAAAATTTAGCCTGAAACTACTATTTATCATTTAGGAAAAGAACACATCATTTCTACATAAATTTGATAAAAAACAATTCATAATATCAAGTCATGATATAATTTTCTGTTTGATACAGTAAAATATAAAGAAGAGCCTATAATTTAAAACATATTCACTCATTTAATCAAACAGTATGTTCTGTGTCACTATGAAGAGCTATATTTTAACTCTAGTCAATACTTTTAAATATCTCCTCTTTTCTCCTAACTACTAAACTACAGAAAGTCTTTCTCTTAGAAGAAGCTTTAATTCACATTTTCACATATCCTTTTTATTTTGATCAATTTGTTTGAAGATTATTTCTTTCACTTAAGATTAGGTGATCATCATTTTCTGAATCCCTCAGTATGCTGGCGCATGGGTTTGAGTAGTGTCATTCTGTGTGCAAAATTATTTAATGAATATCCAATTGCACAATACTTAGGTTTTACATTTTTCTGAATGTTTATTATGTTACTGATCTCCATTTTTAAGATTAAATAATGTATTAGTGGAAAATCACTTCAGAAAAGGCAAACACAAGGGCTGAGGGGAGAGAGGGTGAGGAAGTAGGAGAGGTCTGCCCGCAGGAACAGCTGACTCCTCTGCCTGGCTTTCTTCTTGTTCATCTAACAGATGAGACTTTGTTCCATGATATATTTTGTTTCATTTACAGGTCTTCCTTGTATCCCAGATTTATCCAAAGAAGTACTGGATTGGGCTATTTTTTGACACAAGGGAAAAGAGATGGAAGTGGATGGATGCTGGCCGCTCTTCTGGAATGTGAGTTTCTGCAGTGTATTTGGAGTCTACCATAAATGCGGGGGTCGGGTGGATTGTATTTAAAAGCATCTTCCCTAACTTCTGACAGCCAATCCCATTTCCAAATGGAGGTTATCAGAACAGGGACAATGAGTGAAAGGTGTTTGAGAAAGCCCAGTTCAAAAAGGAAGAGAAGTGTCAGACAGTTACTAATCGTAACAAAGGCACAGTGCTCAAGAGTATGTGTTGCAGGTGCACAGAATAAAACAAAACAAATCTTAAGCTGATAGGAAGTGATTGGCTATCTTGACTTATAGTACACTTAATATAACTAATATATGCTTGTTTATACATTATAATATATAAGAATATGTGTACATATACACACTAAACATGTACATTCATATATACACTTTCCATTTTGAAATGCAATATTATACAAACCCTTAGGTTTACATTTAATTCTAACCTGCTATAAAACTGTTTATTAATTTTTAGAAGGACTATTATATGTGTATTCCTAGAAGTTCTTTTTTGTGTTTTCAGATAAATTTAGAAGTTATTTATATTTAAGCTGTTTTTTATTTCTTGAAAGATAATAAACACACTTATTTTACACTTGTTATCTGGCGATCCCCATTTTTGCATTTTTTGTGGTGTACAGCAATTTTCTTTTTCCTTTTCAAGCTGCCATGGAAACTATTTGAAGTCTGAGATGAAGGTAGTGGCTTCTTCAAGGAAAATGATTTTTGTTGGATGTCTTAGTGTATCATCAGGGTCTTTTTTTTTTTTTTTTTTTTTTTTTTTGAGACACAGTCTTGTTATGTAGGCCAAGCTGGCCTTTAATTACCAGCAATCCTCTTGCTGCAGCCTCCTAAGTGTTGGGATTACAGGGGTAAACCACCATGCTTGGTTTTATCAGGGTCATTTTTAATCTAAATTTAAGTCTTGTGAGTACTGGAAATCTAAGCTGCAACTTGCAAAAGGTGTCCATCCTGCAGGAACTTGTTGATCCAGCTGTAACGTCTAGTTATGCTCCCAGGTAGAGACCATCCCAGAGGTGAGAGACTCATAGAACAAATTAGGATTGTCAAGGCACACTGTTAACTAAGTCCATTTAGAGGTCATAGAACAAGTCAGAAGGAAAGAGATGGCTTAGGTCTTTTTACTTAGTACCTTGGAAGGTACAAGGAGTGAGAGGCTCATCTGAATTTTGGGCTAAGAAATCTTTGTACCTCGATGGTGGTGTGGTTATTGGGGTCAGGTGTGAGGTCTCAGTAAGAAGGCCAAGGTCTCAGGAGGTTCTTGTGGTGAGGAACACATTTTCTTTCCTGGAGAGAAGCAGAATCTTGTAAGCCTGGTCACAATTTCAGTTTTCCATGTTTCTAGGGCAGAGGTCAGATAGGTATCACCAGTTCGGTGGTGAATTTAAGACCTCAGAATGCTGACTCTATGCTCTATGTGTTTCTGTGTATAGTTAGCATCTACTTGGTCATTTCTTCCTTTTCAGCCCATGTTGATCACACATTTCCTTTATTGCTGAACCTTATCCATAACCAATTTCAGTGATTATCAGTTTACCTTCCCTTTATTAACATGTCTTATGTGTTCTGTCTATGCCTCATGGGCTACTTCGTTTTATTTTTCTTCTTTATTTCTTTGTTTGTTTGTTTTTTTTTTCCTGTAGTAAATTACATGAAAAATGCTTTGGTTTGAATTCTTAGGGGAGAGCTTCTCTTCTGTTTAAACCCAAGGTTCAAGACAGTTCCAGTGTTATTTCTGCTGAAAATTTATCCCTTTGAAGGCTCAGCCTTATGTAGTTTTGGTGGATTCATTATTTAGAATCCAAGTCTTGGGTGGATTTAGAATTCATCCTATGATTCCCCCTGGGAAAACTGGTAGCAGTGTTTCACTTACCCTCAAACTCCTCACCTTTCCTTAAACTCCAGCCGGGTTAGGAATTGCTTCTCACCAGGGTATGAACTGACTGAACAAGAGTCCAATCTTTTCTTTTTAAACTGTCTTTATTAGGAAGAGTTCTAGCACTTGGTACACCATTTGGCTGAAACAGAAGTCTTGCTTGGAAGGGGTATTCAGTGGATTCACATCTTTTAACAAATATGTAACTGTTATCTGCGGGGTGGGGAGAATGAAACAAAACATCAAATAAACTTTATGTGGGTTTATATTCTAATTCTCTTTTTGTTCTTAAAATATAGGCATATGAGACCTGATTGTCTATGTGGCAAAAATATGCTTCTTCTTTTAAATATCTTATTTTTGTTGAAAGCAATTGGCAAAGCAGTGTCTCATAATTGCATGATAATATTGCAAATTACTTTTGTCTGATGATTAAAGACCTGCCATTTTGGAACAGAATGGGGCATATAGGCCATTATTCTATTAATGGGCTAAAAATGAAAGCAGATCTTTAATATGAATTTATGGTTAATACTTCCATGCTCTACGTAGTGTAATTTAAAAAATCATTATTTGTGTCATGGTAAACTTCAGAATTATACAGTTGCCTACGTTTTCTGTTCTACAGTAATGTTACCATAATGAATAAACCTCCTACGGATGGAAAATGTGCATTTTTAACTTCAGCAAGAATATCAGATATGCCCTGTGATAACGCCTACTCTTGTGTCTGTGAAAAGAGAATGGATGCTACTTTCCCTGCCTCGATGTGCAGGAAGGAAGAAAGGTAAACATGGAATGCTGTCGTTTTTGTGTTTCCTGTAATAGTTTGTAATTACTCACAAATCAATACTTCGACTGCAGGCCTTAGTCTGTTATGGAGATGAGCCCGAGAGGGAAGAAAACGTTCTTTTGGAACATGACTTCAGAGGTCAGAAGCCACTGTTCTTCCTGCAGAAGAGGTGGAGACTGTGTCTTTGGGAGCCGCTTCCCTTTTCTTTGATCACCTTGAAAAATTAGTATTTCTGTACCTGAACTACTTACCGGACAAATTAAAGAACCTTGAAAAGCAGTTTGCGTCTTTTCCTTATTCATAGGGGAAATCATTTCGATATCTTGTCATCCTGATATCATAAAAGAGAAGCAGAACGGCAGGCACATTGGTGAATTCTTGTAATCCCAACACTCTGGGAGGCTGAGGCAGGAGGATCTCAAGTCTGAGCCCTTGCTGGACAGCTTAATGAGATCCTGTCTCAAAATAAAAAAATAGAATAAGGTCCTTTGACAATGTTCAGTACAAGGACACTAGATTCAATCCATAGTACCCAAAATGAAACATAAAAATGGCCCAATTACATTATAGTTATATATGTTTCTTCTTTCATGTAGATTACCTTATTTTTAAAAAAGTTATGTTTCTATAAATGATTTGCAAACTTACTGAATAGTTGAAAGTATATTACAAGGAACTCCCATGTATCCTTTGTATAGTTATCAGTTGCTTATATTTTGCTACAGTGATCAGAATCCAGAAATTTAGCATTGGTGCAGTACTCTGACCCAAACTGTCATCTAGGTTCTATTGGCCCCATAATATCACTTGCAGGTCTCTTTCCTCCATGCCCATCCATTCAGTCGTGACGCCTTTTAGCGCTCTTCAGTCTGAAACAGTTCTTCCCTCCTTGTTTTTGACTTTGAGAATCTAAAAATAATCTTTTTTGAGTTATATTTTGCATATAATTAAGTATAACATCTTGGAGACGTGAGGAATAAAGGTTTTAACAAATACATACACTTCTTTTACACTATCAAAATGACACATAGCACATTTCAATCACCCCTGAGGGTTCCTTCTAGCCTCTCACACATATAGGGCCGTTCGCAGTTAGTGACATGCTTTCTTCCACTGCAAACGCACCCTGCCTGTTGCTCAATTTCATGCTTCATGTGTTCTGTATGTGGCTTCTTTTTGCTGAACACGTTTTTCAAATTAATTCCTGGTTTTTCATGTATCAGTATTTCATTCTTTTGTTACAAAATGGTACCCTATTTATAAGTGTACCACAATGTAAAAAATTCATTTTCCTATGGAGATTTCATGAGTTTCCAATTTTTAGTTATTATAAATAAAGTTGCCATGTATATTTGTACACAAGTATCTATGTAGATTTTTAACTGCATTTATCTAAAGATGATTCAGAGCACCATTTCATATATTGATTGGTTATTTGTATACTTCTTTTTGGAAACTATCTATCTTTGTTTCATTTTTAAAAATTGACTTTGTTTTCTAATTAAAATGATGTGAGAATTCCTTACATAATTTGGATGTAAACTTTTTAGTAAATGTATAAACTATAACTACTTTTTCCTAGTCTGTGTCTTGCTTCTTCATTTTTTAATGTTTGTTTCTTATCTAAGAATCTTTGATATATCAAGATTGCAGAGATTTTGTCCTATAATTGCCTTTTGAAGACTTATAGTTTTATTTTACATGCTTGAGTTATATTAATTTCAAGTGAATATGTGTGAGAAGAGGGTTGAGATTAACAATGATTCCATTTGGATATCTGTTGTTTTCACACTATGTTTTGAAAATCCTTTCTATTTTAACAATAACTTTGGTGTCTTTGCAGAAATTAATTGATTATATCAGTGTGCTCAGTTTCTAGATTCTGTATTCGGTCTCAGTAACCTGTGTAATCTAAATTCTTGCAGTAACATCATAATGTCTCAATTACTATTACAGAATTCCTTGGAAGGAAATGTGTTAATTCTCAAAATTCATTTATCTGCAAAAATATATTTGCCATTCCATGTTATTACATTTACTCAAAATTTCTTAAATAATGCTGTTGAGATTCTAACTGGAATTGCATTGACTCTGCGGATTAAGTTGGAAGAACTGATATTTTAAGAATAGTAAGTGCTGGAATTTATGATTATAATCTCTCCATTTAATTAGGTCTTTTTAAGTTCTCTCAGCAATGTGTTACATTTTGTCATATAAATCCTATATATGTTGTGTTAAATTTATGGATTCTTTGGTGTTAGTTTCAAAGGTACTTAAACTTGTTTCCAAATTGTTTAGTATTGGTTTATAGAAATAAAATTCCTTTTTACAAATTTACCTCGTTATATGACCTTGCTAATTTTATTTTCAGTAGTTTTTTGTGGCATTTTAAGATTTTTTCTGTTCTATGTTCACAACCATGTGTTCTAAGAATATAGAAAGCTTTCTTTTCCTTTGATTAATTGCAGTAACTAGGAACTTCAGTACAATGTTACAGAGAATTGACAATAGTATACTTCCTTTCCTTGTTCCTAGCATTACGCAAGCAAGTATTAGCCTTTCAAATTTGTGTTTTGGTCAGCTGAAATCTTTTGCTTTCTTGGAGCCTTTGACCATGTTCAGCAAGTGCCCTTCCACTGTTACTTTATTAAGTTTTCTTGTGAGTGTGGTTTCATTTTTATTACATGCCTTCATCTGCGACTAAGAGAAATGACTCTATAGATTCTCTCTTTTAGTCACAGATATAGTTTTGGTGTAGTTTGTCCCCAAGGTTTGTGTGCCAGAGTCTCTGTCATTGGTGTCAGTTTAAAAAAGAGGTGAAATCTCTAAGAAGGGGGACGTGTAGTGCTCAGTGATTAGATCATTGGGGTGCTGCTGGGGAAGGGACTAATGTTCTTCCTGAGAGTGCACTGTCATACATAGAGCAAGATAGCGCCCCTCTACTCTCAGGCTCCTGTCTCCCCCTATGAATGCTCCCTTTGCTCTGCTTCCACCATGATAATAGCTGCCATGTGGAACAGACACTCCCTAGAGAGCCTGGACAGAAGAAACCACTGATCCTGGATGTCCAGCCTCCAACATGAGAAGCTGAATAAATTTCTTTTATAATTTCTTTTTTTTTATAAAAGTGACTCAGTCTGGGGTGTGTTATTATAGCAGCGAGAAACTGACTAATGCAACCATTAGGTTGAAAAAAGTCCTCTTTAACAAATGGTCCTGGGAAAGCTGAAAATTGACCTGTAGAAAGCTGAGACTGAATCTTTGTCTCTCACTCTGTAAAAAATCAATTCAAAATAGATCAAAGATCTTGGTATAAGACCTGGAACTCTGAAACTGTTATAAGAAAACAGAAGGACAACATTTGAACATATAGATACAGGCAAAGGTTTCCTTAATAGGACTCCAAGCTAAAAGAAATGGTGGCAGGATCAACAAATGACATTACACAAAATTTAAAGGTTTTAGCACAGTAAGGGAAGCAAAGTAAAATGACAACCTGTAGAATGGAAGAAAACGTTTACCTTTTACTCTTCCAATAGAAGATTAATCCCTAGAACATATAAAAACTAAAAGGTCTTACTACCAAAAAATAAAATAGTAAATGAACAAACGGACAAATGAGTTTACAAACTCTTCTCAAAATAGAAGTGAAATGATCAATAAGTATATGAAAAATGTTCAACATCATTAGCCATTAGGGATATGCAAACCCAAATGACACTGACATTCTGTCTCCTGCCACTCTGAATAGATGTCGTGGGAATACAAAAATGGTAACTACTGGAAAACTTGTGACGAAGAAGTAACTTTTCTACACCATAGGTGGGAATGTAAATAAGTACAGCCACTATGGAAATTGGTATGAAAATTCCTCAACTCCCCCCCCCAAAAACAAAGCTAAAAACCGAGCTCCGATTTGATCCAACTGTACCATTCCTTGGTATATAGTGGAAATCATTAAAACCAGTATATATTGTAGTCAGAGGTTGTGAGGAGAACAATTACATACAAGACACAGAATTTATAATACTATTCTATGATGGTCACCCGGAGTTCAATATAAGAAAGTGCAGGAAATCTGTCCACCACACTAAAGACTGAATATTCAGCCTACAGCTTGGATCCCAAAGCAATGTCCTGTATGAGTCAGATGGAGGCCTAGAGCCCATGACAAGGACTCACGCCAGTCTGTTTTATGTGTCTGCACTGGGAAGGCCCAAAGGTCAAAGGTGAAGGGTAGAAAGTCTATGGCAGTTGAGTGAAGGAGCTGTGCCAGTAGGTTGAGGGTTCCACACTGGAGATGAGAAGTCACACTCAAAATAAGGACCAGGCTTGCCCTAAAAAGTTCCATAGCCATCCTGTGACATGGAGGTCCCCAGCTCCTCCAGTGATAAGAACAGTGGAGTACATGCCAGGAGGCCAGTGTAACAGCTCATCCTGGAGATTAAACAGCACACATCTTCCCCTCCAGAGCTGGGAAACAATGCCCAATGTCTAAGGACCTGGGCTCCCCCAAAGTGAACCACTGCACTCTCAGCGACAAGATCCCAAGCTTTTCCAATGATAGTTGCTGAATTCATAATAGGAATGCTAGCCATGACAAGCTCCTACAGGAGAAGCAATGGCTCAAAACAGCAACACTTAGGAGAACGCACAATGCCCAGCTCTTCTATTCTATGTCTCTATGCTGCAGCTTTCCTCAGGTGAGCCATCTACACTCAGCACCATGCTGATTTAATTCTTCTGGTGTTAAACTGACCATCAGTTTTTAATCCATAACAGTATACTATATTCATTACCACACAATTCACAACAGCCACAACGTGGAATAAGTCAAGGTACCCATCAACAGATGTATGGATACAGACAATGTGATTTTTATATATCAGAGGATTATTCAGCCATAGAGAACAAAATTTCGTCATTTGTAAGCAAATGGAAATATCTGAATTTCATCATGTTGAAAAATATAAGATTCAAAAAGGCAACTATCACGTATTCTTTATGGAATCTAGAAAAAGGGATTACAAGCATGTAAAAAAGGAGACTATTAGAAAAGAGGAAGAGAGAAAGAGGGAGGAGGGGAAACAGGTGGGATGGACATGATCAAAACCTATGTACTGATCCCCTCACACAAAGTGGAGTGGGGTGGGGAAAGGAACTCTTGGGAGTGAAGATGTACTTTTTGTGCATCTATGAATCTGCCAAAATGAAACCCATATAATCTGTAACCAATATGCACTAATAAGAAAGACTTTGCAGAGAAGAAAAATGCCAAAAAAGTTGTATAGAAAATAGAAAAGGAACAATGGAAAAATTCATTGTACTAGGTAAAGAACACTCATCAGTAGAAACATTCTCTGAAAAAATTAATAGGCTAGTGAGAACAGGAAGTGATAAATATCAACAACAACCTGATGATCTGTTACAAAAATGAGGATATTAATAGCATCTATAAGAAAGTGTAGGGTCAGGGATTTAGCTCAGTGGCATAAGTGCTTGCCTGGCAAGTATGAGGTCATGAGTTTGATCCCCAGTACAACAAAAATGAGTGCATAGTATTGGGAGGCCTTATGTTTGAGGTAGATTCTGTGACTAACAGGACTTTGTGTCTTTTCTTGTAGGGGAAAGAGTGAAGTTCTCTTTCTTGGAGCAGCCAAAAGTGTAGTAACAATGGGATAGATATGATCTAAATATATTCATTCAACTCTCTCACACAGGAAACCTAGGAGTCTGTGGAGGGTAATTGTAAGGTGGAAACATGAGATTGTGATATAAGATTAAGCACAGACACAAGGAAGGGAGTGGATACTAAGATGGAATGAGTGGCCTGGGATGTTTGTGATCAGATCTACTCCCAGATGTTTCCTTGTTAGTTATTCACTGTAGGGTGACCAGTCCTTCCACACTGCATGTCCTAGTGTTTTAAGCCAATAAATCTTTGAGTGAAACTCAACTGCTATTGACACCTTGAGGCAAGGTACAGTTCCAGACCTGTGGAAAGTCCCTACCAGTCGGGAAGCAATGTGCAGACCCGGAGGCATCAGTCTGAGACTCCAAATACATAGACAAATCACCCAGGCTTACCTGCAGGTGATTGTTACATGTTCAACAGTGTCTAAGTAAATGTTACCAAGCTGAGAGACACACAAAGCTGAGAAACTGCTTCAGAAACGTTCTTGAGAATTTTTTTATTTTTTTGAGACAGAGTCTTGCTATGAAATTCTGGCTGGCCTTGAACTTACTGTCTAGCCCAGGCTGGCCTCAGAGAAGCAGTGAACCTCCTGCCTCAGCCTCTTAGTACTGAAATTATAGGCATATATCATCACACTCAGCCTGAGATTTTTTTGACTGGGGAGGAGTTCTAGAGAGATGCATAAAATATGTTTTTTTAAAACCAACTTCCCTGATTCATGGTGGGTTTTGTCAGTAAGAGGTGCTAATTAGAAGGTGGGAGAATGTAGGCTTTTTCTTTTTTGCCTCTGCTTTGGCTGCATCTCGAGCAACAGACTGTCATTTGGATAGATTTGTGATTCTAGTTCTGAAAAAACCACCTCCTTACTTTATTACTGCTAGTTTAGGGGTTGTAAGTCTTCCTGGTATTGTTTCTTACTCCTGCATCATTTACTTGGTAGAGTGGTACCTGAGTTCACAAACTTAATTCATTCTATGATTCTGGTAGTGAATCCGAGTTGATTACAAACCAAATGAATTGTTCTGTAAGTTCAGTGTAAATAAAGCTAGTCCACTCGGAGCCATGTTTTTTAACCACAAAAATTTGAAACAAATTACAGCACAGGACAGCATGAAGAGAGAGAACACCAGCCTTACCTCGCTCAGTATTGCCCTGCACGTTGTCTCCCTCGTTACTGCTCTGCACTGTTTTCTGTTAACCACTGTGCTTGCTTTGCACTGTCTTTGGAGCCGTGCTAGACTGGATTACACCATACAGTTCCGCATGTGCTAAAAAGCACTCAAAAAAGCTTCACAGCACGTAAGCACAGTTTTGTCTGCCACCGCTATCCCAACCAGCAGAAGCCACGAGTACAGGTCAGAGAGAGGATGGCTGTGGCTGTGTTTGTCACCTGACACGGAGATCATGGATGGAAGCAAAATTTTGCTAAAAACTTCTGTTCGTGAACTGAATCGTTCACAAGCAGAAGCATTTGTGAACCCAGGCATCACTAAATCTTTGGCACCTGCTTCATCAGCTCCCTGAAATAAAGTCTATCTGCTTGAAAAGATTTGTTTTCCTTTCTGACTTGGACTGATGCACATAACTTCCCATTTTATCATGTAACAATCCTGTTGTATAATATCATTATCCTTTCTAAGGGAAGGAAACTGAACCCTACTAAGACCATTCGATTAGAAACCAGGGGTGGAGTTGAACCTTTGCTGCCTGACTGTGTTCTGACAGTGACACAAGTATGATCTTTATCCACAGCTCATGTAGCTTTCCCACTCTGTTCCTGGCCTGGGAATAGTGAATATTTTCTTGGGTATGAAGGCAAATAGGGCTGTACTTTATGACAGTCACTTGGAAATGGCTTTTATGAAAGTTATCGTGCTAGTTATTTAAAAAATTGGTCTTCCAGTCTAATACATTAAAAATTAAACCTGGTAAAATAAAAAAGATTGAGGGTGATGATATATAGGTTCTAGATTATAGTTAGGAGTAATTGGTGTGCTATTGTGCACATGGAGGATTATATTTAATAGTGATGTCCTGTATTCGTCCAAAAGCTAGATAAAAGGATTTTGAATACCTTCCTCCAAAAAATGTCAAATGTTCAAGTTGATAAATATGCTTAACCTGATTTACATTACATAATATATTCATGTATCTAACCATCACATGACTCCTACAAACATGCACAATTTTATGTTTTTATGTGCCAATCCAAATAATTTAATTTGAAATTAAAAAATATACGATGGTACTTATACACAATAGAATATTAATTATGCTTCATGGAACTTTCAAATAAGGACAAAGGTATTCCTAGATTTAGGGAGCATTATTAATTCTGTCTGATGGGTTTTGATTTGAAATTCAGAGGCAGTGAACTCAGACCTTTAGAGAAAAAGAATGAGCCCCTTGGATTAGATTACTATCACATAGAACTAAGTCACATTCAAAGCAGGTCATTGAATGGAAAGAATTTCTATTTCAATCATGGAATGATCTGGGCCTCCCCAATATTGTTTCTTTTGAACCAAGTGAAGGGAATTAGACTGAAGCAAGTGAAATGGATATATGTTTATCTTTCTTTAGAAACAATATTATTTTGTGCAATCTTTCATGTTACACTTTACAGTTGGCTTTTAATTCACAAGCTATAACAATCTAGAGAGAGATTTTTTAAAAGATTTTTGGAGATATAGGGATTCAGTAGCATATGTAATTTTTTCTATTGCAAGTGGTAGAAATTTTTTGGTTTATATTTTCTCAAAGGCAATTATTTGGATACCTTTTACTTATTTATTTTTACTGATTATTATTGCAGATAAACCAGTAGAGGATAAGAATATATTTGTAAATGGCATAAGGTTTTTCCATACCCATTCTATACTGAGGAATCTATAGTACACTTATTCTCGGGTTGTACCAAGACAGTAGCTGGGTATGTGGGACGACAAGTGTAGAGTAAAAACTGATAAATTGGGTTGTTGGGCACGTAAGATACTGTTTAAAACTTATGATTAAATAAGAACAGATGCTATAGGCATATTCTATCAGAAACCCTGGATTGCATCTTCTTCTTTTAGTCTTGAGGTTGCACTAATCTATAAATATACTTTTTAGTCATTCTCCGGGAACAAAGAAACACAGCTCAACATCTATTTGGGAGGGGAGCTTCTTTCACTGTAAAAGAAGAGAAACAATCACAGTAATAAAAAATTTTTAATAATTAAAAAAATCTTTGACTTTGAAAAACTTATTCACATTTTTATCAGAACAAAATTCCCTTTTTTATGACCAACTGCTGTATCAACTTGTCATTCTTACATTCAGATGTGGTCTTTCAACGTCAAGAGAAAAGTCATGATAATTTACACACCCATATAACACACCACATGTAGTTTTTAATGAAAATTGTATTTGAGTGGACTTTCTTCTTCACTAACAAGGACCTTCCAAGTAAAGTTTATGCTGGAATTTTACATTGTTAGTGGACTTGCTTTAATGCCACTGTTGCAGAGATAGAAGAAAAACTAGATTAATTTATTGGGAGACAATGTAATAAGGTGTTAAAATTCCAAGATGTGCCATCTTATTATGATAAAATTTAATTGAAACAACACAACAGAACACATACAAATGAGCCGTTAGGAAATGAGCACATGGGAAAGCTGCAGATTTAGGTGTCTGAGAATGAAAGTTTGTTACTTTTTACACCACAAATCACAAAGGGTTTCCTGTTTTGTTATGTGTGTTGTTTTTAGTTTACGCTCTGTTGTTTTGTAGAGAATTACTCTTTCCATTCTGTGATGCTGAACTAAAAGAACAAAATTTATAGCTATAATGATAATAAATCCAGATTTATTCTGACGTCCGTATTCTCCTTCTCTCATGAATCTCTTGCTCTTTGCCTGACAGTGTGAATCTACAGAATCTGCCAAAAAATGTGTACAAACTTCAGGAAAAGAAAAATAGTAAGATATTTTTTCAACATATGGTGTCACTTTCGTATTGGGGACCCAAGAGGATGTTGTATGTCTCAGAAAACCCACCACACTGCCGGTCCTTAGAGAAGAAACTGAAAGTGTGTGTGTGTGGCAATTTCAATGACCAAGGTTACCCAAGCAGCAGTTTACCACGGCAGTAAATCTCTGGATAATAATTGCCACCAGTTTGAGGACTTCTTGTAATTGTAGAGGCTGAAGGTAAACTGTATTACTCTCATGATGTCTTAAAAAATTTAGTATTGAAATATTTATGCTACTTTCTCTTTTCGTGAATTGTGTATAAATCTTGGACTCTGTATTTTATTATATGTATGTATTTTATATATATATGTATTATATGTAATATATAACTAATTTTCCCCAATGCACTTAAACATTAATTTTGATTGATCCTAGAATATTTTCCTTTATTGCAAATAAAAATATTTCTTCTTGGATCTGGTGTACACAAATCCTTCCTATAGGTCTTGAAGTGGTGAAGAAGCAAACACACGTAATGACTTCCAAGGCTGTGCCCAGCATCACAGGGCAGCAAGTCCTTGTCTCCTCCTGGATCTGCAAAGGACCACACTGCAGGAAAGTTCATCTTACCTTACTTGAATCAAATGAGACCTTTGTAACGTAGAGGAGCAGTATTAATGTTGGACAGCCGTGTAGATGCATTATATGCTGATGTTTCATTCTTCACCTCTCTTTCCATTATACACATTTTCTTTCATCTAGTTTATTATTCCAACTGCTCTTGCTTTAATATAATCACAAATCATTTTCATACATGTCAGCTCTGTCCTAGTTCTGTGCTGGGTTTCAGGGATTCTAAGAAGATACTGTTTTGATATTCTTGGTGAACTAAGTGAATACCTCATGCTGGGTCTTGTTTCCTCTGTTAACAAATGGCCATTCCTTCAACAAAGCTGAAACTACCATGACTTTCATAACTTTGGAAAACTTGAAGAAACACCTTGTATGTAAAAAGTCTGATTTGTAAATTTCTTTTTGCCCTTGCATTTATAACAGCTGTAAAAATAAAACTGAAGATAATGGGCATAGCAACCCCCAGGCTCCATCTCTTAGGCTCTTGAGGCCCGTGCGGCCCTGCTGCATTCTCTGTAGCCCTGTGGAGGGAGACTCACAGGGAAAAAGCTGGAAACTCTGGAAGCCCAAAGTGAACCCTGCAATCTCCACGAGAGTAAGCGCACAGTAGTCTCCTGGCAGGTGAGATATCACAGGGTGGAGGATCAAAATACCCCAGGTTACAACCATCTCACTCTCTGAACTTAGCACCAGTCAACACTTAGGTGTTGGGAGACACCGAGGAAGGACAACAAACAGTTCAGAAGCCAGAAACAGCAGAGTCAACCCCAGGAGCTTGGTGAGTTCGCTTAATACTGAAATAGAAAGTAATGTAAAATAATACACCAGGGAAGATCACGCTTTGTAGAATAAGTTAAAATTTATTTCAAGTGTTCAATAATATATACATGTGTTCAAAGAAAAAAAAGAAAATGAAAACATGCTGTAATTTGGTAGTGAGTGACATTAGGGAGTCAGGTTTAGGAAAAAATCAAATTTTGTCATTTCCTTTTTTGTGTGCTTTTCTGAAACAGGGTCTTACTAGGAAGTTCAGGCCAGCCTTGAGCTCACCTGGTAGCCCAGACTGGTCTCAACCTTGCAATAATCCACCTGCTTCAAGTGCTGGGAATACTGATGTGCACCACCACACCTGGCTATCATTTCATTTTAATGGTTCATTAATTGTTAAAATTCTGTATATTAGTCACTTATTCTCAGATAATGTAGGAAGTTGTTATTTTTATGTAAAAAACGTATGTGAAGACACATCCACTAAGCAATTTGATAGTGTTTCAGTGAAGGTTCTTTCTTTCTTTCTTTCTTTCTTTCTTTCTTTCTTTCTTCTTGCTTGCTTGCTTTCTCTCTTTCTTCTTTTTTTTTACATAGTCTTGCTATGTAGTTCAGGTTGTCCCTGAACTCACTATGTAGCCCAAGTTGGCCTCCAATTCACAGTGATCCTCCTGCCTCAGTCTCCCAAGTGCTGGGTTTACAGGAGTGTGTCATCATGCCCAGCTCAGTGAAGATTTTCTTAATCTATTTCATGTCTTTTACTGGTGGTGTTATACTGCTTCCATCTCCAACAATTTTATGTAATTTTCTATATTTTGTTTGAAATGCTGTGTATTACTACTTTTAATTTACACACATTTTCTTTCATCTAGTTTATTATTCCAACTGCTCTTGCTTTAATGTAATCACAAATCATTTTCTTACATGTGAGCTCTGTCCTAGTTCTGTGCTAGGTTTCAGGGATTCTAAGAAGATACTGTTTTGATATCGATGTCTGCTAGGATGCTTTATTGAACTAGACTGAAAAGCCTCAAGGGCAGAAATTACTTGCAAACACTCACTGCAGTGTATTTGATATCTAAAGGAGGCTAACGTAGGATGAGACTGGGAGCTGAAAGGGTCACAGAAGAGGGAGATAAAGAAGTGGCCAGATAATGAGATCATTTTTGACACTGATTTTAAATTCAAAGAGTCATTGAAGGGTTTTAATGGAGGAGAAAAGACGTAAATTAGAATTTCTGAGGATAATCTGACCACTTGAGGGGGGCTACATTAGGTAGGAGTGAGTAGACACAATCTGAAACTTCAATGTTGTAGAAAGTCTGTGTTTTATGACTTATACTCTGGAAAAAATAGGCAATGCCAGCCTATTTGGTATGTTAAATAAAAATAAAATGAAATAATAGAAAAATCCATGAGTAAAAATGACATCTTGTAAAGTCATAAATATCCTAAACAATGTAAGTAGTAGGAATCTAAAATGCCTTATTTGCATAAGAAATGGTACTTAAAATAAGAGGTATGTTAAGGGCCTGCAGGTTTACTTAAATCACTTTAGGAAAAACAGACAAATTCTAGCTAAAATCAGTGTTTGAGCAAGCATTTCCTGAAATATTTTGCTTTTTTGTTCTAAAGAAATTAATGTAAGCACAGTAAGATACAAAAAGACATATTAATGCAACTAATGAAAGGTTGAAAGACAGCCTTAAGGACTGTAGCTCAGTGGTGCAGAGACTGCCTGGCAAGTGCCAGATCCTGAGTTTGATTCCCTGTACCCTCCCCCAAACAAGCTCCCTCAACCCCAAATAAGTAAATGAATGAATGAAAAAAAGGAGACAGTCTTAGAGTCTGAGAATAACAAAAACGAAGTCCAAAGCTATGGTTGCATTTTAGGATGGATTTAGATATGTGTAAGACTGCCAAATGTTATCGCAGTAATTTAAAGTTGATTTAAACAGTGAATAGACGCCGCTGCGTGGGAGGCGCTCCAGAAATTCAGGTTAATAGATGAATTAAAGACTATTATGTGAGACTGTCTGTAAACTTTATTCGTAATACTTATAAAAACTTTTTTAAGTTCTAGGAGAAAGAAACCTTTTTATAAATTTATAAGACGTGTTATTTGCTGTCAGTTCCTCTTGTTTCTGAAAGATTTTATTTCTGATTTTGTAATTTTCTGTCATAGCCACCAGATGGCAGCACCACATAAACAAGCTCTAAAATCAGGCCTCAAATTTGAAAAACTGCAGGTCAGGAAAAATAAATAAATGTACTCTATTTGCATAAACTGGTATTCTAGATACTGGTAGACTATTGCTGCGCTAAATTTATCAAAATATCAGTATTTTTAAAAATGGCAGCCCTTTTCGAGACAAAGATTCTTCTGGAAATGTATATTCAGAAAATAATAGATGTGGACAAAGCAATCATTGCATTCAGATTTTTTTTAACCTCAAAATTAGATAACATATTGGAAAGACTTTGCACTGTGGGTTTGGAGGGGATTTGGGGGAAATGTGGACTCTGTCAAACATCAAAGATACGATTCCGACCTGCAGAACACTGAGCCATCTGGCGTGTGGAGGGCTGATGTGTAGAAAGATACGCTTCCATGGGGCATGCACGGGAGCACCTTCCTTAGTTAGGCTGCACGATGGTCCGGAGTTTAGAGGCTCTCTTCTCATTACCCACGGTTTGTTCCCTCCAGGAAACTCCGAGTCTGTGTACTTTTCCACCATTTTAGACCAACTTCTTCCCTCCTCATGTATCTCTTGATAGCCTAGTGAACCTATCAGTTATCTGGAGGCAAAAATATAACTTATTCCAACTTTGTCCCCCTGCCTTAACAGTTAAATTTTGTGCATGATTAGAATGCACAAATCTTGTAAACAATAAAGTGGATTTATTCTTATAATTATGAATATAAAGAATAAAGACATAAAAATAAGACATAAAGGACATTTTTATATGGAAGATTTGACAAAACATTTTTTATTGTTGATTACAGAAAAGCCAAATCAGAATAAATACATCATTTACCTTCTATTCTTTGCCTGTAAAAGTATAAGTACCAAAATATACTGCATAAATGCATAGATGTACACTTACCACTTGTCCTTTGGTGAGTTTCTGAATGTCCCTAAATTGCAGATTTTTAATCTAAACAATTAAAGTAGCTATCTTACTATCCAATTTTTTGAGGGTTAAAGTAATTTGTGTAAAACAGCTACAAGAGCTAAATAATCCCCCTAAAATCAAGTCCCACAAAACAGTATTTGGGACATGAATTCTCTACATATTCGTTGGATTCAGCGAATTTCATTCAAATGAAAGTGCAATATTTGTCCTCTCCAAACAAAAAACAAAAACTGAAAGATTATTTCATGCTGCTTTCTGAAGACAACCAATAATGAATAAATAATTTTCTCAGTTTCAGTTAAAAAAAAAAAAAAACCCAATGAAGTAAGTACCTCAAAAATTTATAGAATCTAAAGGTAAGTTTCTGTCACAATAAGAAATTGTTGAAAATCTAAAAAGCACCCCTCACAATTAAAAAAATAAATCTGGACACTAGCACATTATAATAATCAGTGACATTAATGTCGTATTCTCATGTAGACAGCTGTTAGAGTAAAAATACTGGGAGAATCCACATGAAGAAGGTATAATTTAAAGACAGCCAAGGATGTCAATGTAAATCTTGGATCAGTGTTATCTTTAAAATCAGATGTTGCCTGTTTCTGATTCTTGGATGAAAGGGGCGAGGAGCGAGGCCGTTGTCAAGGTTACCCTGCTCACCTGTGAAATGTTCTCTGTGCTGGCCCTGGAGGATAGTAACTGAGCTGAGGCTGGGGCTTCCTGTGTGGTTTTAGCTGTTACCCAGCCACTTCAGCCACTTCTCCTCCTCTGCTGGGCAACATACGTTGTTAACCTCTCAGGAAGTATCTGGATCTATTTTTATGTCGTATTTTATATAACCTCTAGGGTGTTTTATAACTGACTTTTGATTCTTAGGATAGTGTACATTTGAGTTGGCATGGACAAATAGCAAATAATCTAGAGCTCACTTTTGCTATTGAACTATATTTTACTACTAGTTTAAATACGCTTTGATAAAACAGTATTACATGCGGAACCTTTTAGAGACCAAGTGCCCTAACTTCAACCCAAACCAATTTACTTATTTTGCAAAGGGCCAACAATGCAATTTAAAATGCTGAGATTTCAGTCTAGAAAAAACAGCTCATACCTTAATATCTTTTGTCTTAAGAGAAAAAGACAGTAATGCAGCTTTCAATAATACAAATTACTTTTATTGAAAGGTAAAAGTCTACATTTGGTGTGCTTTGCATGGTGCTATCTTTGCCATTGTATGCATGCTGATAATTTGTCACACATTTGGCTCACACATTTGTTCGTTTGAGAGCAACACATGTAGCACTCATATCATCTGTTAGTCTTTCCTGTATCATGCTTGATATAATTAAAAGTTGACAACAGCTGCTCACAGGAATAAGATGATCCAAACAAAGTAAGGAAAGCAATCCCAAGTGCCTTCATTGATTTAAAATTATTTGAATGTCATTACCCGGCACTGTTACTCCTTCCTGTCTGAGCATGGACGTGGCCCCTTTATACAATGTTATCCAAATTGTGACTGGCTAGATCCCAAGTCTGCAGATTTTGGAAAGTCACTCATTCAAAAATACAGGAATTTTTCTTTGATTTAATCTATTGTCTATTTTTCTATTATACTGTTTTTATTGTTCCTTCATCAGAACTTTGGAGACCTGGGTATTCTTTCTTTTAGTTTATTTTTTCCCTTTTTCTCTTTTTCCCCTTTGAGTTTGTCTTTTCCTTTACATTTTTCTTTTATTTTCATTTTTGCATTATGCTTATCTTTTTTCTTTTTCTTATTCATTCTTCCTTGTGACTATTGTCTATTACTATTAATGTCCTTTTATTCCTGATGTCTCACTTAACTTTCCTCCTCATATTTGATAGGTTAAT